TGCTGGTGAGTGTGAAAAGACTGGAACCCTCTTACACTACTGGTGGGACTATAATAAAATTGTTCAACCACTGTGGAAAATGGTACAAAACCAAAACCAAACTTACTGTTGAAGCAATAATCTTTATGGGAGTAGATTGTCTCATCTTCCTTCCATGGAGAGGTAGATTTTGTACCAATTCCTTTTAATCATTTAATTTAAAGATAGATTGGGAGTCAAAAGAGCTCCTTGGAAAATGTTACAGCACTTCCTTAAAAATGTGGAAATAGAAATGCCATGTGATCTAGCAATCCCACTATTAGGTATATATCCTAGAGAAAGAAGAACCATGGTACAAACAGATAAATGCACACCCATGTTCATCACAGCCCTACTCTCAATATCCGAAAGATGGAAACAACCTAAATACCCATCAACAGAGGAATGGATCAACAAACTATGGTTCATACACACAATGGAATACTAGGCAACGTCAAAGATCAATGATGAATCTGTGAAACATCACAAACATTTGTGTTGAGTGAAATTAGTCAATCACGAAAGAGTAAATATTGTAGGAGACCACTTTTGCAAAAAGTCAAGAAAAGTGTTTCACAACAAAATAAATATTATTTGATAGTTACCAGGGTTGGATGGGGAAGGGAGGGTAAATCACTAACTAGAGGGTAGATATGTATTAACTTGGGTTTGGGTGAAGGGAATAAAACAAATAAATAAAACAAATAAATAAATAAACATATATATATATATATAATGTGAGCAAATTTTCCTAAAAAATTTTCTTTTATGCCAGCACAAAATAGCTATGCATCGGTTTAGTTATTCACTCTTCTTTGCTCTGGATCAGGAGAGACGAATAGGTGGGTCTTAGATGACCATTTGCAAGCTTTTAAGACTCCAGTTACTACTCAGAGTAGGATGTACAACATTGTCTTTGTGGACTATGTTATGCCAATTGACCATAGTGTCCCCCAAGGTCATGATTCTGAGCCCCCATGCCCCGTGACTCATTTCCTTAAGGTATTTGGTTATGATTAAGAAGTTTCCCTACTTTGCTCACTGTATCCATAGTACATTCATGGATATATAATGCAGCACATATAAATACATAGGTAGAGATATTCAATATCCTCTGTCAAACCTATATATATATTTGTGGGTGTAGTCCCATTCATCTTCCCCCTCCTATTCAGTTTGAGTGTCTATCTATGTATCTCTTTGTAAATTATTGTTATTACTGTTATTGCAAGATTAGGTATGTTGTAGTAATCAATTTGTGGCCTTTATCTCTTGTGCTGCCCTCTTGCCTTGATCATCCTGTGCTGACTTTGCTTTTTTTTTTTTTTTTTTTTGTCCATTGCCTTTGTCTTCATCCAATTTCATAAGTCTATCCTGTAGTTAGTGATTTATCCTCCATTCTCCGCTCACCCCTGGTAACTTTCAAAGAATTATTTTTCTTTATATAAACCTGACATAAAAGGTTTTTTGTTTATTTTAATTTTGATGAGTCCAGTTTATGTATTTTTCTTTTGTTACTGGAGTTTTTGGTGCCATATCTAAGAACACATTGCCTAACTCTATATCATGAAGAATTAATTCTATGGTGTCTTCCAAGAGCTTTACTCTCTTAGTTTTTACTTTTAAGTCTTTGATATATTTTCAAATGGTTTTGTGTATGGTATGAGGAAGAGGTTCAACGGCCATCTTTTGCTTGTCAATTTTCATTTATGTCAACACTATTTTTTGTAAACAATTTTGTAAAGGTTAAAATTCTTCAATAAATATAACAGGAATTGTAATGAGTGATTCTTCTAATTTGATCTTATGCTAATCCATACAATTTACAAATGCATGCAGTATTTCTATCATACAGAAACCTATAAAATAAAGGGTGAGAAAATTGTTGCCTCCTTTCTGTATGCAGTGGCTAAGAAAAGCATTTGGAATACTTATATCTGTCTGTTGATGTTTACATATAGAAATTCATATATTTTCATGTTTTCTTTGTATCCTGTTTATTATATAGGTCATGATGTTGCTCCTGACCATATTTTATAAAACATTTTGTTTTAGTCTTAAAAATTATTAAGGTTAACAGCTAAAATCACAGTATTTCCAAAAACCACTTTACTAAAACCTACACATTTGAGACAATGTTTTTTTTGCCGTTACAGGAAGCTTCTTCAGAGATCTTCACCCTGATACCCTCACATTCCTACCATGTCAGTCTTCAATACCTCTGAAGTAGATATTTCTACCTTCTTCCTGATTGGAATCCCTGGAATGGAACATTCTCACATTTGGTTCTCTATCCCAATTTGCCTCAGTTACTTCTTTGCCATTCTTGGTAACTATACCATCCTCTTCTTCATAAAAACAGAGGCCTCTTTGCATGACCCTATGTACTATTTCCTCTCCATGTTGGCATTTTCTGACCTAGGATTGTCCATCTCCTCCCTTCCAACTATGCTGAGAATATTCTTATTCAATGCCACAGGGATTTCCTCAGATGCTTGCATTGCCCAAGAGTTTTTCATTCATGTCTTCTCAGCCATGGAGTCAACTGTACTTTTCATCATGTCTATTGACCGCTTTATAGCCATCAATAACCCTCTGAGATATACCTCTATCCTTACAGGTGCCAGGGTCATTAAAATTGGCCTTGTGAATGCTATAGTATGTATTTCCTTTATCCTTCCTTTCCCATTTACTTTAAGGAGGCTGAAATTCTGTAAGAAAAATGTTCTTTCCCACTCCTACTGCCTCCACCAGGATGTCATGAAGCTGGCCTGTTCTGACAACAAAGTCAATGTCATCTATGGTTTTTTTGTAGCTCTTATAGCTATGTTAGATTTGGTATGCATTTCTGTGTCTTACATACTGATCCTGAAAATTGTTCTGGGCATTGCCTCACAGAAAGGCCGCTTCAAGGTCCTTAACACATTCATCTCTCATATCTGTGCAGTGCTTATCTTCTATGTGCCTATCATCACATTAGCTGTCCTTCACCGCTTTGGCAAAAAATGTTCTCCCGTTATTATGATAATTATAGCTGATATCCTCCTTTTAGTCCCTCCTCTAATGAATCCCATAGTATATACTGTGAAGAGTCAACAGATGAGAATTGTGATCCTGGGTAAACTATGTGAGAAACAGGTTTGATTGGAAATTTCAGCTGTAATGATAACCCCAGCTCAATTGGCAATTTCTGAACAAACAGAAGGATACCAGAATGACAACAAATGAATAGATGTTGAACAGAATGATACACTGAACATGCTCCCATCAAATTTCAAGTTATTGACTTAATGAAGCAGAACTACCAAGCTAGATCAGATGCCTTGGGAAGTAGATTGGGGGACTAATATACTTATAACTGTGTTTCCAACTTCATCTCTTAATATCACCTGTCTACACAACCAGCTCTGTAATTACATCAAAATCAGCCAGAGTAGCACAAACCTAATTATTATTAGAGACCTTTTTAATGCATTATTCCAAATAAAAAGAAAGAAAGAAAAGAAATAGAACATATTCCATCAGGGAAAAGGCATAATGACTCTAATGAACTTGAGCATGATTAGCAGTAACTGAAGTGTGATGAAATATTAAGCGTAAATATGCGCACACAGAAGGTTATCATCTCCTACATAGCTTCTGTGAGTGTATGCTGGTATGTGTGTGTAGACATCATCAACATTTCAAAGAAAACGTTAAAAAGACCACTGTCTGCAAGGATTGTGAAACATATTTGGATACAGGAAGTTCACATACTTGAAATAATGAAAATTGAATCAAAAATCATAGACAAGAAAATAAGTTGTCTGTTTTTTTTTTTTTATTGTTTGTTTTACACTTCAGTAAAATTCAGTAATTGCCTTCTATGGTGTGTCTACTGAGTGAGATGCTCCTTATTCAAGTCTTTATTGTACTCTCTTTTTGCCAGTGCTAGAGCTCTAAACAACAGTATTATTTCTTTATTATCTATCTCTTGTGCCAACTTGTATGTACTTATGGCACTGATTTTAACTTCTATCATATTAGTGCCTAGCAAAGTGCCTTGACCATAACAGGTGTTTACTGAATGTTTGTTAAAAGCACTGTGATCTTAATAAATGTTGACTATCTAAATAAAACCTATGATAAGAAAGTCAAAGCATTCATTAGACTGTGTCTGGAAAACCCATTGATAGAAAGATGACTTGTTCTATTAATTAATTATCTAATTTATTACTTGGGAGAAAAATAAAAGGAAGCAAAGATAGTATTCATAAATAAAAAACAACAACAAAAAATAGCACATTAGTGTGTCTATAGGGCAAACTGTTAAGTACTCCATGACTAATGAAAATGTTGGAAGTTTGAAATCACCTACTGGTGCCTTGGAAGAAAGAACTGATAATTGGCATCTGAAAGGTCATAGCCTTGAAAACCCTTTGGGCAAAAATTCTATTCTGCAGCACATGTGGTCACAATGAGTTGGAATCAACTTGATGGCAACTGAAGACAAGAGCTCAGGCCCCTACTGAAGATTGCAATTTAAACCCCTTCTGATGACTACTAATTATTTTCATCCAGCACACAACTCTGAAAATAATAATAATAATAATAATAAATCTGTATCAATAAGGTAGGCCCTGGATTGCAAGTGACATAAAGCTAAACATATTATTTTAATTAAACATAACATTCTTAGGTAGGATATTATAATGGCTCACATATGTAAAATAAAAGCCGCAGGAACCTGGGAAGCTGCAGCACCATAAAAGTCTCGGGGGAGACAGACCCATAAAGGCATAGCTGTCATACAGTGTCAAAGTACTCTAAAATTATTCACATGGTGCTCTGGCTTCATGGAGGTGACAACCACAGTTCTGCCAAGAAAGCAGGGGTGGCATAATGTATGTTCTACACAAATGGTTAATTCTTATCCTTTATAGGGTATTGGATGACTATCTTTGACTTTAACCTCCTTTGGACATTCACCTGCAGAATTTTTTTCATTTTTCCTGACTGAAATCTGATGAGCTGAAATCCTCAGAGGTTTGTGGGCCACTGGGAAAGCATTAGGGAGATAGTAGACTCTGTATGTCAGGATATATTGGTGGCCTACATATGAATGAAATTTTGGTGACTGTATCCCGCCTTCATTACTTTCTTCTGGTGAGGTGTGAGTTCAAAGATACTCACTTACTGATGGTAAGTTTCCTGATGGTCACAGGTGAACTTTGTCTTTTAATCAGCTCAAAAAAAAAAAAAAAAAAAAAAA